TTTGTGTTTGAATGATTTAATTGATATCTTTTGTAACCTAGAATCGCGACTAGAATTACAATTGCATGTAGAATAAATTAAGAGAGATCTAATTTGTTGTAGGACACATTCACACACACTTAATCGTTCGCTAAGAGATTAGTAGCGATTAGGGAGCCGTAAGCTCGCTCTTCTTGGAAATAATTTACGATCCTGTCGCATGAGAGATCAGCCTGGTCCCCTAAATTATTGTACTCTACGCCGCGAGAGCGGTAAGAACTTAGTAATGATTAGCTAGGCTCAATTAAATTAATTTCATGTAATTAGGCCTGATCTGCTAGAAATCTGGTTACCCCGGAATCGATCCCTGTTCCCTTCGTCATTAATTAGAAAGAACCCCCTAGTTTAATTGTTCGCATTAGTTTTATTTTCCAAACCAACCAATCTCGCACGACGCTTTTATTTTATTTTCTTTTTAATCGCTGAATTTAATTAATTCAGCATTCCCTTTTGTCCGTCCCTGTGGAGACGATACTCGTACTTACACCACTATATTACGATCTATTTTAAGTGCGAGAAAACTCACATCAGTCACACACCTAAGTGATTTGGATCATTAATGTTTGTTAATAACATTAAAATAGCTTGATTAGCCCAATTCGAAATAGGGTTTCGAATGGTATTGGGCTAGGGCCTCTTTAAGGGTTTTATTAGCCATAAAACTCCTTTCCTCCTCTTATAAATAGGGCCATATAGACCCACAAATTTTAAGAGTTAAAATTCACTTCTCAAACCTAGAGTAGAGAGGAAGAAAGAAGAGAACGCTAGCACGTTCCCTGCGGCCGATCCAGTCACGTGCGTGTGGATACCGGTAGAGCTCGGGATCGTTTTCTTGGACAGTCTGACATCCTTGATTAAGATTACTATGTAAGTCCCTCTTATGTCTTGTAATTTCGTTTATAATATGAACCTCAGATCCGATTGTTTACTTTTGGGTAGTAAATTTTTCGTTTATTCCGCTGCGTTTTTCTACCCAAAACCCAACATTATGAATTGATTAATGGTGTTAAGGTATGTGTTATGTCATGATAGAAACCATAACATAGTTGGAAAGCATGAAATGTAGGTTTGATTAGTGAATTTTATACAAATTGATATGTATGATGTTCCAAGGGCCAAAACAGGTATTTTTGGATCAAGGACTTCAAGTAGCACATGCATGTAAAATTTCACGTTAACCGGACTCCGTTTGGGCGGTCAAACGGGCATTGACCGCCAAGTCAACTACAATACCCGACCGGGTATTGGCACATACCCGACCGGGTGTTTGCTGAAAATTTGCCCCAAGGGCTGCTGTCTCCTATACTCGATCGAGTATGGATAGGTACTCGATCGAGTATGCCTTGAAAATTAGCCTTACGGGCTACTGTCTCCTGTACTCGACCGAGTATTGGTGGGTACTCGATCGAGTATGGGGTTATACTCAAAACGGGTAGTTTTTGAGTAGGTTAACGTGGACCGATCAGGTGGGACTCGTCCACGTTGGTTACTAAGGATTGTTACATGACTATAGGACTAGGTATTGTCCATAGTTAAGTGAATGAAAGGTTAGCCATATCCAAGTTAGGGTTGGTAAGGAATAAGGTTGAGGTTGAGTACCCTCGGAACGGTAAACGATCCTAAAACTCGGTGAGGTTGAGTATCCTCAGGACGGTAAACAATCCTAAAACTCGGTGAGGTTGAGTATCCTCAGGACGGTAAACAATCCTAAAACTCGGTTGAGGTTGAGTATCCTCAGGACGGTAAACAATCCTAAAACTCGGTTGAGGTTGAGCATCCTCGGGATGGTAAATGATCATAAAACTCGGTTGGGGTTGAGTATCCCCGGGACGGTAAACACTCCTGAAACTCGGTAGGATATTATGAAGGTAGAATGTAGCTCTTGAGCTAGGCATTCAGGAATGAAAGGGGAAAGGTTGGGTAAGTACCTTATCTCTAAAAGACTTTTTTTTGTGAGAAAACGACCTACGGGTCAAGTATTTTACAAGTATATACAGTATGTATTATCTTGGGAATGGGGTAACAACGGTTACACCTATAAATATATGTATCATCCTATTTTTGGGTCTCGTGTCTGAAACATTAGTTATTCCTCATATAGCCTGTTTGTCACTAGTACTTTCTATGGAGTACTGACCCCTTCGGGGGCCCTCACATTTTTCGGGTTAAGGCTTGAGACCTAATCCTGCACCTTTGCCTAGGGTGATCATCAATAAGGAAGACGTGGTTCGTGCTTCCATTCTCATTTGAAACAATGTAATTGCTCATGGATATTTGAACAAGGTTTTCTGTTAAACTATTAAAGGGTCTGCGTGCTCATGTTTGCCATGTGTGGCTCATCATCAAACATATTTTATTTCCGCATTTGTTTGAGTAATATATTGATGTTGATTGTATGGGTTTACTAATTGGTTTGACAATAGAATCTATCGGACGCCTTGTATGACCTACTAAGAATGAACTATGTTGTTCTTATTGGGTTGTACGGCGGTTGTCTACGTGGCACGGACGCGGTCCGGGGCGTGACAGGAAGAGTGCGTCAGGATTTCTATGTGATCGAGGTATGCCGACTAGACTGAAGGGTAAATTTTATAGGACAACAATTAGGCCTACATTACTGTATGGCACAGAGTGTTGGGCTATGAAACAATGTCACATTCAAAAGATGAGTGTGGCAGAGATGCGCATGTTGCGTTGGATGTGTGGGCATACTAGAAAGGACCGCGTGAGGAATGAGACAATCAGACAAAGGGTGGGAGTAACACATATTGAAGATAAGATGCGGGAGTCGCGCCTACGGTGGATTGGTGGTCATGTGCGTAGAAGACCGAGTGATGCACCTATCAGACGAATTGAGATGTGTGGAGAAGAGGTAGGAAAGAGAGGGAGAGGAAGGCCCAAACAAATGTGGATTGGGGGAGTTAGAAGTGATATGCTTTTTCTTGGGTTGGATGAGAGTATGGCTTTGGAGAGAGCAAAGTGGAGGGCGAGTATTTGTGTGGAGGAGTGATCTCGTATCACCTTTTCCCCTCGTCTGTTTTTTTAATCCTTTTATCCTGATATATAAATATTATTTTTATCATTTTTATATTATCATTTCTATGTATATTCGTCACGTTTTATTTTATCTTTTTTATGATAGTTTATCTTTTTATCTTTATTTTCTTTCTTTTTCCTTTTGATGATGACATCATATATATTTTGGGATTAAGGCTTGGATGCTGTTGTTACCAGTGTGCACTTGGGACACGTTTACGTCACGGGTCACTAAACGGTGCTTATTAAGATCCACGTTAATAAGCGGCGAATAAAATAAGCAATGTTGTAAGATCGTGTTTACTTCAAAGGGTTTAAAACACCGTTTAACATTAAAATGTCCAAAATAACCCTATACATATATAGACGCACAAACATTCATGAACACAAATATTAATATAATATATGGGGTCACCTCTTACGTGTACCCATACTTGGGTGGGGTGGGGTTGGGATTGGGGTGGGGCCGAGGTAGGGGCAAGTGGTAGGGAGTGGGGAGGGTCGTGGTTAGGGGTAAGGGTGGGGATGATGGGTAGGGACCCTCGGGGTTGGGTAAGGTAGGGGCAGGGCTGGTGTATGATAGGGTGGGGTCGGGTCGGGGTAAGGTAGGGTCAAGGGTAAGGGGGTAGGGTAGGATGGTGGTAGAGTTGGATCGGGATCGGGGTGGGGCTGAGGTAGGAGCATGTGGTAGGGGGTAGGGTTGGGGTGGTGTCGGGGTAAGGTAGGGTAGGGGTAGATGGCGATAGGGTGGGGTCGGGATCGAGGTGGGGCCAGGGTAGGGGGTATGGTAGGGGTAAGGGGGCTAGGGTAGGGGTGGGTTGGGGTAGGAGGGTAGGGTGGGTCGGGGTAGGGGATGGTGGTAGGGGGTAAGAGATGGGTGTGGGTAATGGGTTTATGGTCAGGGGTAAGTGGGGTGTGATCGGGGTAGGGCCGGGCGATCTGGGTGGGGTCGAGGTAGGGGCAGGTGGTGGGGTTAGGGTGGGGATCGGAGTGGGTCGGGGTAAGGTAGGGTGGGGTATGTAGAGGGGTAATAATATGATAAGGACAAGAGATAAGGGTAAGGGTAAATTCGGAAACTGAAAAAGTTTAAAGTGCCGCTTAATTAAGGTATGTTTGGCACAACTAGCTGAAAAGATACTTTTACGAACTTTTTAGTAACTGTTATCTTTTAGTGACTGAAAAGATCTTAATAGTAAAAGGTAGTAGCTGTTTGGTAAAAAGCTGACTGTTTGATTTAGTTTTGTTTGGTATAAAAGCTGTTGGGACTAATTAATGCTAGAAGCTATAGACTTTTTTCAGATGCTACTCCCTGTAGCATCTCAAAAAAGATGTTTTTATTTTTTGAAAAGCTCTTAAAAGTATCATACCAAATATACAACTTGGAACTTTTAGAGACTTTTTCAATAATACAAAAGCTAGAAGGTAGGGACTTATGCCTGCCAAACATAGCCTTAATATATGAGGTGATATGTTTAGTAAGCGACACTTTAAGCACCTCTTTCGGTTAGTAAGTGGTTTTTTAAGCTGCGTACGTGTTTACTTCACCTATCATACTAACTTAACTGTGATTTTAGCAATGAAGTAAATACCTCATACAAATCCGGGGTATACCAAGCAAAGTTCTAATACCAATCACTTTTTTAAAGATGAGGAGTCGAGTAGATGATTCTAGAGTGTGGACTTTTAACCACTCCATAATATACTCCGTAATTAACAAAAGAAATCGAGTGATGTCATTACTTCATAACTGCGTTCCTACCCCAGCCGTCCATAGCGGCAATGCTAAACGCCTCTCAACATACTCCTTTGTTCTCTAGTGGTTGTCCAATTTTGAATACTCCATTTTCTTCGACTCCCAATGGGCCCCGCCGCCATGCTTATAAACGGGTAAGCCTCTTTGCGAATTCCCACTTCCCTTTCTGCATCGGGAAAGCCCATGCCCCTTTAGTCAAACCCCAGGCCGTCTTCTTATTCTCGTCATCACTTTCTGAGCTCTGTTTTCCCCTGCCGGCCAAACTCATTACTGGCTCCGGGGAGCTGAGAATGGCGGCCACATTGAGATCCGCGAGGACGGCGGAGCTTTACCCGACGGCGAAGAAATGGGCGCACGCAGACACCACCAGCCCTGAGCGGACCAGAGTTTGGGCCCAACCTGCCAGTTCGAGGCCCAAATTGGAACAGAGAGTCCCCGTCGTTTACTATCTCTCCCGGAATGGCCAGCTCGAGCACCCGCATTTCATGGAGGTCCCTCTCTCTGCTCCTGAAGGTCTCTATCTCAGAGGTAATCATGAATTAAGATTTGTTCTGTGTAATTATAGTCAAAATGTCTCCGGCTTTTTGGATGATAGTAATATAGCTTCAACCAATTTCAGATGTAATCAATCGTTTGAATTTGCTTCGCGGAAAAGGCATGGCTCTGCTCTATTCCTGGTCTGCCAAACGGTAGCCAACTTTCACCGCCTTTGAGTTTAAATCATATAAATGTGTTCAATTTGCCGTAATTTTAAGTTTTAACAATGATTTTTTTTTGAAACTTCAGGAGCTATAAGAATGGATTTGTGTGGCAGGACTTGTCGGAGAACGATTTCATCTACCCGGCGCACGGCCACGAGTATGTACTCAAGGGCTCGGAGCTCATGGACGGGGAATCCGAAGAATTAGGGTTTTCCGGCAGGCCGCAACTGCTACCGGAATTCCGTAAATCAAGCGTAGATCGGGAAATTACCATAACTGAAACGAGGCGTAACCAATCATGGAGCTCCTCTGACTTCACCGAGTACAAAGTGTACAAGACAGAGTCCGGAGGAGAGTCTACCGGCAGAGCCGCGGATGCCTGGACTCAGACCGAGGACAAACACCGCCGTAGAAGACCGGTCCGAGTTGTTGCACAGGAAGACGGAGACGTGAAGGACAAAGAGCCGGAGAAGAAGAATAATCCAGTGGAGAGCCAGAGCACGGAACTGAGCAGGGGGGAGATATCGCCGCCGCCGTCGGATTCAAGTCCGGAAACGTTAGAGACGTTGATGAAGGCGGACGGTCGGCTCAATCTACGACCGGAAACCGTCACTGAAGATCCGATCCCCGGGAAAGGAAAGCACAAATCGTCTTCAGTGTTGCTCCAGCTTCTATCATGCGGATCGTTCAGAGACTGCGGCGGGAGGGACCATGGATTTTCATTGATTTCTCATTACAAGGCGAGGCTGCCAAGCGGCAATCAGGTGGAGAAAGATGCACAGAGTTCTACTGTGGAGTTTCCGTCTGTGAAATTAAACTTGGAAGATAAGGAGTACTTTAGTGGGAGCTTATTAATTGAGAAGAAGGACGTGTTTCCAGGTCTGAAGAGATCTTCTTCCTACAATGCTGATCGGTAAGTTTATCTCCTGAGAATTTACATTATAGGCTCTGTTGCATTTCTGCACAAATTTTTAATTGTTAATCAAGTGCCGTCGCCTTGTTAATTATTGCCAATAAATCTACTGCATGGTTGGTATCTCAGTCAACTTATTTGGCTGATTAGTATAATCACATTAATTTCTACATAACATTATTAAAAAATGTTTGACTTTTCATATGGAAAATATAGTGACCGTCTCAAAGAAATTCGGTAGAACTCAATTTAATTCAGGGGTTGATTTCTTTTGTACATTTGTGTGTACGCTTATATCAGTGGTTAACTCAAAGTATTGTATACATCTAGTTTTTTTCTACCAAGTTAGTTTCAAATAAAGATGTTACTCCCTTTTGTTTTGCTATGATTGTCTTACTACTTGTCTCATTTTATGTGTCTTATTTTGACTTGACATGATTATTAATGAAGTGGTTGAAAAAGTAAAATTTGTGGTTGGGATTTGAGTATAATAAAGTGAAATGGTGTAAACCATATATTTCTTTTCAAAAAAAGAAAGTAGACACTCATTTTGGGATAATCCAAAAAGGAAAGTAGGACATGTAAAATGGGACGGATGAAATATTTTTTATCTATCATGTCAAATTTAATAAAGTTTGTGTAGTTTTAAATTATTTTTATTTTACTTTTCCTTTATCAATTCAATAATAATTATACAGACAATTTGATGTTATAGCCCATAAGTTCACTCTAATCTTAGAATCCATAAATCCCTTCACAAGTATTGATTTTCTTGCATCAAATACTAACATTACTAAGTCATGCATTTATTTAGAAAAAATGTGTTCTTTAGAAACATAGGAAAGATCAATAAATTATGTACTCTATGAAAAAACATCCATATTTGTTAATTTTTTGGGCCGACATTAGTTATTTTTGTGTATAATTTATAGGTCTTTTAACTGATAAATTTGATAAATTGACAGAAGAATGTTTATTTGTGGCTCCAAGCCATTAAAATGTTTACACCTCATTTTTCTATAAAGATATTTTTTGTTCTACACGCAGTTCAATCTGCATTTATTATGATGAAGAAGATCCCCTTGCGGTTCAGTTGAATAAATTTGTTGAGTCCCGTCAAAGCATTTAATCTTCTAAGCCAATCCGCCTTGGGATTTAGCATAATAATGTCAAACAAAACTCAACACAGCTGTTCTATAAGCTAGAAAACTGTATTTATAAAGTCTCAATCAATATGGGGCTGACAAAAGAAGGAATAATGATTGTATTTTATACCATTTGGCTTTTTTATTTGCCTAAAATGGATGATTATGTGCATATCTGCAGGAGCACAAAGATGGAACTTGACCAGACAGAAGATGATGGAAAATGTGAGGGCAAAAAGCATTCCAGGAAAGCCAAAGATCCAAGTGGCCTCCGCAGAAGAATGCAAGAAAAGTGATGTTCCTTTATTGACCTCTGAAGGTTTCATGGTTTAGTTACCAAGCTATGTTATCTCAAAAATACCGTGTCTAATTATCCGTGTAATGTGTAATTGATAGTTTTGTATGAAGAGGTGAGAGTTTTGTTTGATGGAATTAAGTTTAAGTTCTGTGGAAAAGTAACTGAGAAATGATTAAGCAGGGATTACAATTGATATGTTTCAGTACAGGAACAAAAACAATCGAGCTAACACAACTTCTCATCTTTTGCCAATTACTACGTACATAGTATATTGTTACCAGAAATCCAGTAGGAATTCGTGGCAATTTTGTCTATCCTCTATAAAAATGTTGAATATACAATTCAATTAGGGACAGAGGGAGATTCGTATTAGTCCAAAGTCCAAACCAAATTGGACCACATTTTTCATTTGAATAAAAACATTCATAATTTGAAGTAGAGTGCTATTTACCAAAAGTGATTTCCAATACTTACCTCAATAATTTTATTGATTTACCTTTTGATTGAAAAAGAGGGAGTAAGCTTACAGAGATTGATAGTTTTACTACTCCCTCCGTATTCAAAAGTTTCATACATTTTCCTTTTTGGGATGTACTACCTCCGTCCCGCAATTAACTTTCTACTTTGACCTACACACATATTTAGGAAATAAATTTGACTTTATTGTAGAGTGCACTGTTTTGCACTGTATAAACACTGTTTGGACACTGTTTGGCATTGTTTTGATGTAGAGAATTTGCCAAACAAGGAAAGTTTTAAAGTGTGAAGTTAATTTTGGGACTGACGAAAAAGGAAAGTGAGAAGTTGTTTACGGGACGGAGGGAGTATTTAAAAGTTCCCTACACTTTTCCTTTTTGGTAAGTTTTTCCTTTAAAAATACTCAATTATCTTTACTTTTTCTATTTTTTATCTTCTCCTTCCTACTTTTCACCCCCTCTCCTACTTTTTTCTACACTATTCATTACACTTACTATTCTACCTTAAATCTTGTGTCATATCCAAACGTAGCGATCTTTGAAATACGGAGAGTATTATCTGAGTACTCCCAAAAGTGGTAGTTTTCAAAGGTTTTTATACATTAGTGTTTACTTAAACTGTGATATTTTTAATAATCATAACTTGAAAGAACAACACTAATGTTTACAGGTGGGCATATCGATTTCGGTTTGGTTTTTATCGATTTCAATTCGTTTCAGATTGAAACGGATTGGAAGAATTATTATCAAACAAAAACAATACTATATACAGAGTATATCTTTCCGTTTGGTTCGGTTTGATTTAGTTTTTTTGAAAGGAAAGCTAGCATATATATTAAATCAGAACTCACAGTACAACGAGAAAAAATTGCAAACAATAAATGTAAACACACACTACCCTCCATCTAACCAACCATAACCAGAAGCACCCCGCCCCCTGACTTCTTTATCAGACATAGAGTAGTCTACCCCAAAAAGAGCGAGACTAATCGCTGAAAATGTGGGAGCTTTGAGACTATATACGGCTGAATCGGCTTGATTGCCTCTCACTAGAAATCTAAAAGCTACGGTAACCCAAAATAAGAAACTACCACACTTATTATTTGACCTAATAGAAGAAACAAAATAAATATTACCAAACAGAATATAGCAAAAATAAATAAATAAATAAATAAATAAATATAAGCTGCAACGCCGATTTCAAAACCCTAGTCTCGTAATTCCTCAGTGGCGGCGGTTCAGGAGGGGGATGAATCACCCACCTACCATCTTCTTCTTTCACCACCTGAGATGGCCAGAACACCCGCACCGATCCCCCAGCAGCCATTTAAAGCCCAGATTCACCCGGATCAAACACAACTGGTATAACTCCCATCTCAGCCACCACCAGGGCCAAAATAGCCAAACCAATCATCGAAATCTCAGGTCTCACAACCCTAGCCGCCGCAGATCCACTGTCGCCCTTGAAAGCACTGAAATCCATCAACCCTACTCTCTGTCGCGCAAATACTCTTGGCATCTTCCTTGTTTGTTAATCAAGGGCGGATCCAGAATTTCGGGATACCCTCGGCTGAAAAGTAAATATATTAGCCTTAAAAATTAGCGGGGTGGGCTAAGTATGAAAATTTCAAAAATTTACACTAATAATATTGAAAAGCATTTAAATTGTCCAGGGCTTCAACCCACCATAGTCTATACATAGATCCTCCTCTGTCGTTAATGCTGCTGTTCGCAGCAGTTCTTGCTGTTCGCAGCAACTCTTGGCCGTCCTGCTGAGTTGCAGACAAAAAATCCGTCAATGGTCTGCGATAAGCTTCCAAACACGAACCTCCACAAATCTTGCCCTGCACTCCAGCCGAAATCTTGCTAGCGAAACACCGGGACAATCTCGCCGTGAGACTCACAGCACCGCCCGCCAAACTTCCGCAGATGACGGTCTAAAACCCTAGCTGCGCCTTCCGGTTCGATTTATTTAGGTTTCAATTTGTTATTTTTCAACAATATATGAAGGTTTTTGATACGCTTGTAATTTCCGTGTGTATGTTTACGTTTTTAGTTAGTTTTAGTTGTTTAATATTTTGGAAATTACACACTTTTGGTGTAATAGTTATGTTTGTAAAATAGTTGTAATATGTTTAGATTAGGTGTTATGAAATATTTCCTCGGTTTGGAAGTTGCTCGGAATCCAACTGGCATATTTCTTTGCCCACGCAAATATGTTTTGGATATTCTTAATGAAACCGGTATGCTTGGAGCTAGGCCCGTTGCTTATCCAATAGTTCAAAATCATGGACTCCAAACGGATGAGGGGCCTATTTATTCTGATCGTGATCAATACCGACGCTTGGTTGGCAAACTTATTTATCTCACATTAACCCGACCGGATATCTGCTATGCTGTGCATGTTCTTTCTCAATTTATGCAGACCCCACGCGTGGCACATTGGGAAGCAGTAGTGCGTGTTTTGCGCTATCTCAAAGGCCATCCTGGGCAAGACATTCTACTTAGGCGTGACTCTTCACTCACTCTCTCTGGATATTGTGATTCTGACTGGGCTAGCTGCCCTATAACGTGTCATTCCACTTCTGGATATTTTGTCTTGCTCGGTGATTCTTCCATCTCTTGGCGCACAAAGAAACAGGCTACGGTATCTCGTACCTCGGCTGAAGCGGAGTATAGGTCCATGGCCTCTCTTGGTTCTGAGCTCATTTGGCTCAAAAGCTTGTTGTCTTCTCTTGGTGTCTCACATTCCACCTCCATTAGCCTATTTTGTGATGATAAGGCGACACTTCATATTGCCTCTAATCCCGTCTTTCACGAGCGTACAAAACATATTGAGATCGATTGCCATTTCATATGTCATCATATTCAAAACGGGACAATTGTCATTGCACATCGTCCTTCGGCGGATCAACTGGCGGATATCTTTACTAAGGCCCTTGGTCAAGCTTAATTTCAGTATTTGCTATCCAAGATGGGTCTTCGGGATCCTCACTCTCCATCAGTGGAGGACCTAGGCCGGGGATTAGGGGGGCAAGTGCCCCGGCTTCCGACCCCAAAGTTTAGTATTAGTACTTAAAATAAAAATTGTGCCCCTGTTATCTGGACAAAAAATTATACTAGTAGTATTTTTCATTAGTATTACCGAAATATAACTAATGAACATAATTATGGTCACTAAAATTGCTTTGGTAGTACGTAAGTTATATTTTTGTCCACTATCTTTATTTCAATCATATTGTCATTATTTCAAAAAACTATTATATGTATAGGACTCCGTCGAAGACATATAATAATTGTAGTAAGAAATATAAACAACTCTGCAGTTGTGATGGAGCAAATTCTTATAGTTAGATATGTTGTTATATTGTTACTACACTTTAATTGAAAAGTGACATTGATGATTTTTTACTTGGTGTGAATAATGTCGGTCCAAAGTTAAAGTTCAAAGATACGACAAGGGTTCTAATATGCAGGATAAACTTAATAGATTGAAGACTTTTGTCTTGAATAAAAGTTGATACATGAAAAAATGTGTTAATTCGCGATAAATTAGTTTCAAATTGACATACCCTTTAAATATTTTCTATAATATGATACTCGTAAAAGTTAGATATATAGAATCATATTATTAAATAAAGTTGTATTAAATGATGAAATCCTAAACTTGACTTATACTTAATTTAATTTAACACGATAGTATTATATTTTAGACAAGTACCAAGAAATTTTGTGGCACAATGTATAACATCGACATGATCTTAGTTCAAATATGAAATCTTGGTCAATTTATAGTATGAAAAATAGCAAAAATTTTAATGTAAAATCATAAAAGGCGCAAAGATGAGTCATTTCTAATCTGCCAAATTATGTCTTTCTTTCAAAAAGTCAAATATTGTTGTTTAGAATTGTCTTAATGAGTTCACAATTAGACTTGTAATCCGTATATATTCATTGCTTGACGTCGGGATTGAATAATCTATTTCCAGTTAAAAATATTAATTTGAACGCACTTGACAAAAAACCAATGATACACCCAATTCGATCCGACCCAACCCATTTTTATCTATGTGGGAGTGCCCCGCTTCGGAAAACTTCTGGGTCCACCACTGCTCTCCATCTTGAGGGGATGTTGGAAACATGCAGCACATATTTACGTACATAGTCACATACTCACATGCATTTTATTGTGTACAATATTTTGTATTATTTCCTGTTGCTAACTCCTTCCTTTTCTTTCGGCCGAAGGCTTGAAACGTTAGTGGGTTTCCCCTTGGTAGAATTCTTTTCCATTAGCTTTATCACTTGCTATTCTTTAGCTGCACACAGTTGTATTATTTGATATAAATGTACTCCATCACCGATTGAATAACACACAGAAAATTATTCCCATTTGCTTCGTGCATATTTGTCAATTCTCCATTTATTGGCTGAACTTTAAAAAATCTAGCCCATTATAAGCTGAAATGACATGTCAAACATAGCCTTGATAGAACTGAAGGCGTAAAAAATGACAAATATTACCTGACACTGTTAAAAAAGTAATATGTGTGTATAATGCAAAATAAAGTACTCATAATTAGAAGCATTTATATTAAAAAAAAAAGATTACATAAATGATAATCCACGAACCCGACTTTATAAGTGACGTACATTTTTTGATAAGAGGGTACATTATCTTGAAGAACAAACGGACAACACTAGTAATGCTTTGACGTGAAAATTATGAAATCAGAGTTAGTATTAGAAACTTTTTTAAAGTCACATATTTTTT